AGATCAAGGTTGTCATTCCAGGCTTGTGATCACACATTAGTTTTCTGTACAAAGGAGAGTGACCAAACACGTTGACATGCCTCGTACTTTCTATGTTGACATTTGCATATATGATACACATGTTTATGCTGAATACTGGTCATTTGATTAAAAAAATAATAGTGGCTGTAAGTTTTTTGGTTGAAGACTATGTTATTGTAACTGTACTTTCAGCGCTTTCAGAATCATATTGGATATATTTATATTTGAATTTGGTGAAAATTTTCTGCTAGGTTTCTGTGGCAGTTGGGGTGGGTAAATACTATGTCAAAGTGGATGACAATGGTAAGTTTGGTTCTGTTTTTGGCTTTCATTTAGTTTGAGGACGGCAAATTGGGGAAAGGGGATAACAGATGACATATGTACTTATATAAGAAAAAGAGATGGAAAGATAATTCTGACTAAGTGGTGTTGTTTGTTGTGCTTCAAAAAATCAGTTTCTTTGCAGTAGTCTCAAGATAATTATGATTTCTGTTTATCATGTTTTTGTAGGGTCTGGTATTACACGGGATGGATTGTTGCTCCTGGGGGAACGATACAGTAAGTCTAATCAGATACAATTAGACTGAAGTTTTTAACAACTTCATATTCTGAGTGTGTAGAAAGAAAAATCTTGACTGTTCCCATAGAATGATACTTCTGAATGTTAAGGATGTACTTATCTATAGATTTTTTTTTTTTGGTTAACCATAGTTAATTTTGAAAAAGATGGTTGAGTTGGTTTGAGTTGGAATTTAAATTTGCATTAAAATAATATTTAAAATAAAATAATTAAAGTTCATTTGATGTAAAAGTATGAGAGGGATTTGAAGTAATGGGTAGTTAAAATTATGCAAGTGGATGACTAGTGAATTAAAGTTGATGCAATGTGTATGTATGATTGATTGGTATTATTTAATTATATTCATAACATTGAAGATAGTAGATTTGAGTTGGGATTGAATCTTTTTTGGAGTAAATTTATAAACACTCAAGCCCAAAGCAATATGTCTTATGAATATGTTGGTGCATGAAAGTGATAACCTTGTGTTTGAAACTATACAACATTACTAGTTGCAAGCATTCACTGACTTACAATTTTGAAGATTTGGCGATTTGACCTGATCATTTTAAGACTCAAAATATGATTAAACAAGGTAGTCATTACCTATGCATCGTATCATCGTGTCATTACTATCTTGTGTACTTAACTACACTCTCATGGGGTGCATAAATGTTGGGAATGCCCAAGTTGTCAATAGGAGGTTCAAAATTATGTTTGGAGTCTCCGTTGGTAAGAGCGTCTGGCAGTAAAATTTAAGATGATTTCAGATGAATCATGCGAATGTCTTATGGCTAAATTTGACATTACAAAGAAATCTTGGAGGTGCATTAGCATATAATCCTAGATATTAGACAACTGGTCCGTAAGATCTCGCCACTCAACTAGTCAACTTCACCAATTGTCTGCAACTTCATTTTGCTATTTGCCTCATCAACTAACCAAATCTCACGTATGTATGCATCTTTGAAGACTCCACTTAACGACTCTTCTCTACCAACGATTTTCTCCCCTTTTCTTTTTGTACTCGTGACATATTTAAGAATCTTGTATGTTATCTCTAAATGTTCCTCATAAGGGCCACTCCTTTATATAATATCTCCCAACTTTAAAATAGTCTTCAACCACTCATTTCCACCTCTTTTAGCAAGTGGTGAACACACTTCTTTGTGTCACGAAAGTCTCAGTTGTAGACCTTGCAACTTCTATTCTATTTTGATGCCAGGTGCTCCTTGACCCTTCTCCCAGTAAGTTTTATGTTATCCATATGTACAATTTGACGAACCATCTTTGCATACTTGTGTGTTGTACAAACATTTTATGTTCTATTGTCTTTGTCTGTATCATGCTAACAAATCTTGTGTTTACTTCACTCTCAATTTTATGCTTCCGTCCGAAGTGATTTCTTCATTTTTTGCACCTCTGCTCTTTAAGTGCCTTCAAATTAGTGGGTAACATGTAGCTTTCCATTCCAAGCATATATTTAACATCCAGTTGAAGCAACGGCTATTCTGAATTGATAGCTGAAGTGATTAATTCTTGAAAAGTTTCAGCTTGGCCTCTGCATATGCTGTATATTGATAGCTCATCCCTTTGGTCTGCATTAATCATTTTGCTACAAATCTTGCTGTCTGCTGTATCAAGTATTTATCTGTGATGAAATTCCCCATGCAAACCTTCTTGAACGAAACAACTAAAGGCCTACTAACCATCTTCCACGTTGCCTTTTTCTTTCAGGAGCTTCCACCTCTCCATGTACAGCTTTCATTTTTCATGTTTTTGCACTCTGATTTTTACATTGTTTTTTGTTTATTTTGTTAACAGTAACATCAAAAATGAATGTGCCCCTGATGGATGCTGGTCACGAGAACCTAGACTTTCATGGAGAAGCTCTGTGCTCAATTTCTGACATTTCTTTGTTAGATATTGTAACAAAAGCACGTGGAAAGCCAAATGGATATAGAAAGATTATGAAGGTAAAGGAATCATTGAGCTATGTTGAATACTGTGTATTTTTATATCTGCAGTAAGCTCTTGCTGTGCTTAACTTATTATGCTTTTTCAGAATTCAAAGTGTGTGTATCTTGGGATACATGATGATAGACAGGAGGTGGGCACTACCGGTAATCTACTCCATCATTAGCAGTTGACTTTTTCGTATGATTCTTGAATAAATTCCATATTCGTCCTTTTTTTTTTGTCATTTTGCCATAAATTTTGATAATAGTATTAAGTTGGCTTAACATTGGTTGTTCAAGCGAAAGTCTATTAGGCTTGGATAAAGAAAAAGCTAAAAAAGAACACACTTTTGGTTTCAGTATTTTTAATTTGTTTTCTCATTCGATGTTTAAGCATGCAGACATTGCATAGAAAAATACCTGTATAATTTTCCAAAAAAAAAGAAAAATAAGAAAATTTAAATATGGTCAAAGTGGTTGTGCATCTCCGTATTGCTTATCATGGATAAAGCTACAAACCTCATTTCTCATTCTTATATATCATATCCAAAAAAAAAAAAGAAAATTTAAATATGGTCAAAGTGGTTGTGCATCTCCGTATTGCTTATCATGAATAAAGCTACAAACCTCATTTTTCATTCTTATATATCATATCCTTGATTGTGTCCAGTCCACACTGTCAATGACTCGAACACTAAGTTGACAATTACGTTAATGAATTTAGTATCACAAGGTGCATATAAAATTTATCCTTGAGCTACAAAAAATGGTAGCCCTATAAAAAGGCAGGCTCAAAAACCTATTACGCTTGATGTTTATTATTATATTGATTCGTGAATAAACATTGATTTATTTGTTCAACTTTGTTCCAAGACTATTACTTTCAGTATCTCCATTTTTTCCAGAAAATTACACTGCTTGCATATGTGCCTGGCATTATTTCTGCTTAGGATATATCTTTAAGGATCTTCAGAAATGCTGAGCAAATTACGCAATTTTTCTGTTGTGCTGTTACTCTTATCCTCTTCTTTGTTGCCTTCTCTTAACCGCTGGTTATTTATCATTTGAAAACCAGAGTTTGGACCATTTATTAAATTAAAGACCATATTGTCATTATAAAAAGACATTTTGATGCCATGTACAACTCTTTGGAATTAAAGCGTTCTTTGTACATGTTTTTGCGCATCAGTGAAATTATAACCTAAACCAAACAGGACGTAGATCTTATGCTGTTTCACTGGGCAAACATACTGTCTAATAATTTCTTATTGTAGATTATGTGATCTGTTATCCTTCTAACTCCTTGGAGTTATCAAAACAAACTCTGTAGTCTCTTTATGTGTATATTGGCTAAACATGCTCTCATCTGGAAAGAGAAAATATGTTCACAAGTATGAGTAAAGGGGAAGGAAGAATAGTTTATTGAGCGTGTAGGATATATATCCTAATGCATCAATGATGATTGAAGGAGGTAAAGGAAACCCCAGATTGATTAGCATTGCTGTGCTTTTTTGAATTTAAAAATTAAATAGGAGTAAACATTTTTAATACATGTTAAAGGAATGTTAAGTTAGTCACCCATATGAGATTAACAACAGTAAAGCTAAGCTGTGAAGATATTTACGGCATGCTTCTTATGACCACATTGAAATTTAATATTGAAGCATGAAAATATGGACTTAAATTTTAGACCATATAAAATTGGGTCTTTTGTGTGTGTGTGTGTGTGTGTGTGTGTGTTGATTTTGTGCATGCATGATTTCTGCCAAATTTTTAATATAGTGGGAAAATCTTTAGCATGTTAACAAGGAAATAGGAAGATTATGCTTCTCAATACACTGTACTATTTCATGAATAAACCATTTTATTCGTCTCCAGGTAATGAGTACAACACGATCTTTACTTCATATGCTAATAAAACTAAAGTCTTAGTTCTGCTTGCTTCAGTGATTTTTCTAGTATTGTTAGCAAGTTACTAGGAGTATATTGCTTCATTCCATGGTACTAATAGTGTGTTAGTATATTGGGAGCTTCTTTTGAATTTAAAAATGGAAGAACATAAAATTATACAGCAAGCAGAACTTTGACGTACAAGAAAATAAAATGAGCAAAACATGCATACCATCGTAGAGAAATCGTTAGTTTGTGTTTCTTGTAGAGCCTCTGAAAGTTCCTGCAGCCACGCATCACATGATTGTGATGGAGCAAAAAAAAAAAAAAAAAAAA